GAAAGTCGAGTCACAGAATAATATCAAGCGCACGCATCAGGATGATAGGCAACCGATGATGATAATACCCACTCGTGAGCTATGACACTAATTAAACCCCCGTCCCCCGTGACATGTCCGGCTTTTAGGGTAAAATGTCCGGCCAAATGAAGCTCAGAGTCCGGCTTTTGTGTTTTTGGACCTGGCAACCCTAGCCCAGGCTGAGTCCGCACTACGCATGTTATGGATATCCGTAACCGTAACCGAAACTTTCAGATATCCGAAATAAAAAAATATCCGTAACCGTAACCGGTATAATATTATTCCTATATCCGTAACCGTATCCATAACCGAAACTACATATCCATAACATCCCTCGCACTACGGTTTTTTCCTGCAAGCGGTAATCTGCCATACCGCGAGTCCGCCCGAAACGTATACTCGAGAAAAAGCTGCAGTGCGTACGCTTGCATTAGTTTAGGTCCGAGCCTACCGTGGCACCCTCAGTCCGGGCCTACTAGTGAGCCCGCCGTAGGCACAGTAATATCGTCAGTTGCAGGTTCACTTGGGGTAACTGACAAAATACGGGTTTTGAGTTAAATATACAGTTTTTCTTAGTTTTTTCTGCTCTTTCGAATGGTATACGTAAAAAAATTCTAGCTTTAAAAAAATTACAATTACACGGTCATTTTCAGGTGTGAACTTTTCAGATTTCCTTCACAATTTTGGTGTAACTGACATTGTAATAATTTTACCAGGTTGAATTGGTGTATCTGTAATAATGTAAAAATTTTGCTACAAAACTGCAATTACACTGATTTGCTAAGGTTTATAACATGAAATAAAATAGGAATTTAGAAAGTTTTAAGGCATATTACATTATTATTATACCAGCAGTATCAGTTAAAGAAGTTAAAGTTAGTTCAANATATCCGTAACCGGTATAATATTATTCCTATATCCGTAACCGTATCCATAACCGAAACTATATATCCATAACATCCCTCGCACTACGGTTTTTTCCTGCAAGCGGTAAACTGCCATACGGCGAGACCGCCCGAAACGTATACTCTGAAAAGAGCCGCAGTGCGGACGCTAGCATTAGTTTAGGTCCGAGCCTACCGTGGCACCCTCAGTCCGGGTCTACTAGTGAGCCCGCCGTAGGCACAGTAATATGTACTATCTATACAGTATTCCAACTCGGCCATATTTTTGAAATAAATGTCAACAGCCCCGCGGTACGTCACGGTATGACAACATGCGATAGGGCTGCTCACCTACAGTACCCTTTCTAATTACATCAGTCTACTTAGAATTTCTATCTAGTTTTGTGATTGTAATTTTTTTTTTATTAAGACAAACAAAATACTTCGTGAATGGAATAGGATAAAAATGCGTGTCGTTTTGTGATTAGTAGATTTAATTTTAAAAAATATACTTAAATAATTTTGAATCTACTAATCATAATGATGAGTACTCAATGACCTGTTACTTTAATTTTAGGCGGGTGAAATCGTTGGCAAAATCTGGTTTTAAACAATATATAATTTTCATTTCAAATCAAACTGACTGAAAATGACCATTTCGGGCAGTTAATGACTAGTTTTTGACAAATTTGACCGTAAATGACGATCAGTCAAATTCAATCACCTTAGTCATTTTCAACATTAGGCCATCGATGTCCGTTCGGCACATTCGCGACACCCCTAATTTTTTCATCTCGAACACGTCCAAAGATTTGAAATTTGAAGGAAAGCTCGCGTTTCGTCGGTTTATATGAAGTTACAATACCTACTGTATGATATTATTACCGTGCCGTAGGCCTCGGTCCACACCCTCTAGTTGGGTTATCGGGCGCCTTATGCATTGGCATTCTCTAGGGTTCTGTTCCAGGGCGGGCTTGGTCCCCGACATACCATGGCGATTAGTATCATAGCTCAATAGCCGGTCGTAATAGCCGTTAAGCGCTCGATACGGCCTGTAGTTCTTAAAGCTACCAGCGCGCGTTTAAAAAATAACATCCATAACTAAATAGACCTAGCGGAATAGAGCAACAAAGATGAGCGAGCGAGATGTCACTATCAGCAACACTGTGATCGCCGCCACGTCAAATAGAACCATTTTTTACTATTTGACATTTCGTTAGCACTCATTGGCACGCTGAAAGTATGAGCTCTGAGATTTGTAATTAAAAAAAATGTTAGAATGCAATACTAGCCTTGCATATTTATTGCGCTAATGAGCTAATGTGCTATCTCTCTCCCTCACAGAGATGAGAACGGGCAAGAGCAGGACGACGACATAATATTCGAGGACTTCGCGCGGCTGCGGCTCAAGGGCGCCGAGTCCGACGCCTGAGCGCCGCGCGGACAACAGAGGCAGACAGTAGACATTGACATTGCTCCGAAACGAAACTTACGACTCAGAGAAACAAAGTAGCATCGACCTGTAGGCCTAAGACTAGGAAGAGTAGGCGCACACCGTTGATTTTTCGTCGGCCGATAGTTTAGTCGGGCAGTTGATCAGTATGGGCATGTATGGGAGTGCGCACACTACGCCGATTCGATTTGGCCGATTCTTCATACAATTTAAAATCGGGCACAACTATCGGCCAACTAAAAATCAACGGTGTGCGCCTATTCTAAGATGCGCGCCGTGATAACTTTGATCGATGTTAAAATGTATGGGCAAAATCGATAAAATGCCGTGATAACCGCTTATCGCGGCGCGCATCTTAGGCCTACAGGAATGTATACTTGTGATAGACAAGGGGAATGAAATGCAGCTAAAATGTATAAAAAAAACTTCGAAACTTCCGATTTGAAACGGGATGTTTCTGGCACTCAAATACAATAATTTATTGTACAGGATCAACATCGATACAAAAAAAAAACATTAATATTGACCGATAAACCGTGTGGTGTGGAAGTGATTATATTTTTTTAAAGGTCGATGTCTTATATGCATAAATGCATATATTTTAGCAATAGAATAGAATCTTTTTTTTTATGCATAACAAGGCAGGTATTTGATCACAATCGCCCTTTTTCGAATCGGATTGTGCTTTTATAATTTATACCTTGTAATAGTTCGTTGTATTGCAGTGCTACAGCCGTACTTCATTTAGATAATTTGTATAATATTTTTAATTTGTAGAACCAGCAGTGAAATTGGAAATCATCTGATCCTGGACGATTTTCTTGCTGAGTTAGCAGAATTAACTCTACGATTTCCAAATACTTTTCAATGCCTGGCTTTCCCTTGTTTTTCTTTTAGTATTGGGTTGGAATGTTACTTTGTTTCTCTGGTAGAAACATCGAAGGGACTGGTACCAGCCGCAGTCTCCAGTCGCCGCGGGACACAGCTCCGTAATACTTCTTAAACATGCAAACAAAGCGGTACAATATAATTTTCGGTAATTGTAAGTAAATGTGAATTTATAAAATAAGCACAATACGACTGATACTTCAATTTCATTGATGATATCATTTTTATTCAAACATTCACAATTTAATTTCCGTTTAATTTTATTAAAGTATTAAAACTGTACAATACGATTTTTTGTTCATAAGTGAAAATGCTTTATGGCTTGCGATTGTATATTTTCATTTGTGAAGTTTTGTAAAACAAAATAGTGTATACCAAAAAGCTCATGAGCGTATTTCTTTAATTATATTGCAAATCAATGCACAAATAAAGCCGATTCTCCTGCGACTGAAACGAATCAATGGGAAATGTATTGTCATTTATTGTAAGCTGTCAGCTGTCGTCTACAGATTTGAATACGAAAGTTTGGTTTATAAAAGTTGCATGCGAGACGGCTTTAGATCTAGAGTAAGACGAGCACAAACGAGTCGAGACCTGTCCCGCGAGAGGTCGGTCGCCGCACGCCTGCCCGAGTCTGCATCCCTGTACAGTGTATCTTGTTGAGAGGATTTGACTTTCACTATATTATGATTCGCGGCCGCACGCTCGAACTCGCCTTTCTGGGGACGCGACGATAGGATGATCTAGAAAAATCTAGGCAGGCTCCTGAGCCCCGATTACGGTAATTTTTAACGTCTCCAATCCAGACACGCTTCTCGATTCTGCGATACGATTGGTCGTTCAACAGCGTACGTCAGCTGTTTTGACCAATTGTATTGCAGAATCAGAAACGCGTCTGGATTGTAGACGTTAAAAATTACCGTAATCGGGGCTCTGATCTGAAGGCAGGGCCGTCTTTAACCTACTAGGGGCCCTGGGCACTTAGCCTAGGCGGAGACCATCGATTTTTCGTCTGGCAGTTGATCAGTACGGACATGTATTTGATTTGACCGATTCTTACAAATTAAAATCGGGCCCAACTATCGGCTAACTAAAAATCGGTGGTCTGCGCCTAGTCTTAAGAATCAAGGGTGGCCCTTATCATCTGGAGAAGGGTCTTTCGAGCAGACTGGGCCTCGGTCGCGGGGCCCTGGGTATGTGCCCAAAGTGCCCAGTGGGAAAGAGGGAAGTCTGTCTGAAGGTCTATTCTATTGATCATCCAGGTGATCAAAGTGGACTCCAGCGACAGTTTGGTACCCTTTGATCACCCATGTATAAGATCTGGGTGATCAAAGTGAACTCCAGTTTAATTATTATTTTAGTTTCCGTTGATCACCTATAAATAAATTACAATTCTGAATAGTCACATAAATGTCCAATTTGTTTGTTGCGGTTTTTAGAAAACCTCAAAAATGTTACAAAACAAAATATGTAAGTACAACAATTGGACATGTTACTGTTCAGTGGAGGTGATCAAAGGAAACTAAAATAATAATTCAACTGGAGTCCACTTTGATCACCCAGACCTTATACATGGGTGATCAAAATGGAATAGGCCGATCTGAAAAGGTTCTCAAAATTAAAGCGAATACCCGACTCTGTGGTTGATCAGATATTTTGTAATTTGACCAATCGCAAGCTTGAATCTTTGCTTATTGAAGCTTACTTCGGTTCTATTCATCATCAAGCTGCTTTCAGATTGAGTAATTGACTATTTAGAATGCTATGCTTGCCATTAGTATTTTTATAACGTCTCCCAGATTTCAGAGTTCGGTCGTGCGATCGCGAAACGTTAGCGTACATGAAAATTTTATATAATATTCAATGTATATTGTATGTGAAAATTATTTTAATAGTTGTCTATTGATGAAATTAAACGAGTACAAGATTAGTTCACTTATTTAGCATATTTACATGTTATTATTGAATCATGAGCGAGCGATGATTTGTCATTAAATAGTACAATATATTCGGCAACATGCATTTAATAGAATAAACTTGTTTTTGTACGTCTGTAATTTTTGATTTCCTTTTGAGGGTAGCGGTGTATTTTATTGTTGAGGTTTACTAATACTAGGTCGAGAAAGAGATACCGCGTGCCATAAGTCACCTTTTTATACTGTTGTATATTTGAGAATGCAGGAATAGGTAAATAAATATGTGTCACCTACAGTTGTTGTTAATGCGTATAAAAGGTATGAATAAGACGCTAGGCCGTCCACCACTGCAAGAAAAAATCACACCTCTCCTTATCAAATTTTAAAATTATCACATTATTGTTTCAGTTAGTATTAAGCTTTATTTTAAATAATAACCTTAGATCAAAGATTTTGATGTTGTTCCCATAGAGAAAATGGCTAAAATATTTTTAAAATTTAATTTTGTCTTAGTAAAGAATATAAACTACTAAAGCCTGGTCCGTGAGCACGTAGAATTTTGTCTGTTTAGTTTTTACAAGAAAACTGAGCAAAGGAAAATCAACTCAAGAACTGGTAGACGTATACAAGAGTAGGCCTTTATTATCATCCTAATTAAAATACATATTGTTAGAAAATTATAGATAAAACATATACTTACATAGGTAGGACAAGACATTTTGTGTTGCGATCATGTAAAGAGTTGGTATTTTTTTATAAATAATAGAAATCGAACAGAATAACACTAGTATAGCTATGAAGATGGAAAAGCAGGAATGACAGGTAACAAGAGAAGATAATACGAGTAGAACTTCCGCCTGTGGCCTTTAAACTCGATAGAAAATTATCTAAAGCAATATTGTATAAATATTTATAAAAAAGTTGCGCACATTCTCAATGATTTTTATCTGCAGAGGAAATATTTTTATGTACTCCATGTCATTGAATTTGATGTACAAAATAACAGTTTAAACATTTGTACACTTATACATATTTATCTTTGTAAATATAAACGACGGTAGAAGTTTTAAACGCCGTACGGGACAAAAACTTATCGTATTTTATTCGACCCTTACGGCATTTGAAATTTCCTCTATCGAGAGCTTCTTTTTTGTACAGTCAGTTGCAAAAATCATTTGCAAACGATGTACATAATTTGAAATTGCAGCTTTGAATCTGAATAACATTTTGTAACTGCACTATACAAAGTATTGTAAGGTGAATGGTAAATGAAGCACTCTAAAAATGCATGTCCGTTGTCGGTGGCGTTGTACACGAAGGTCTTATGATTAATATACTTACTCTGAACGTAGATTACTCTGTGAGTGTACATTTGTTTGCTGCACAGTTGGTCGTCTACAATTATTTGGTGTAAGGTTTTTTGGTAATATGTACACAAACAACTCTATTCATTATTATAATACCTTGATGTTAGTATTGGGCCTTTACATACTTTGTACTAGTCTTAAATAAAATCGTTTAACATGTTGTTAGGATATTTATATATTTGTCAAATATTGTGAGATAAATAAATTCTCATGAGGCAATTGTTACAGACCAACTGTTACATAAATCTTAAATGTTTTCTGTTTTTATTCAGATATTGTAATGCAAACCGGCAGTAGCTTAACCAAATGGAATAGCTACTTTTACAGAAACTCGTTATTTTTACTCGTTTATAAGTTCTGTAATATGCCCGAGTCTTTTTTGCAATGCTTAGCTATAATTCCACGTAATAATTGATTAAATATACAATTAAATTTGTTGTTACATGTAACTAATGAATTGTAACAATTTACGATGGTGAAGCTAATGAAATTTACAGAATCCTGTGTTAATACTTTATGAGACTAAAATGTCATCGTTCTCTTTCTCTTCTTTCGCGCTGTAAATACAAATGATAATTTTTATTTTAACTTGACGTTGTTAATGCATCCATTTTAATCCGCCTTTTGCCCGTTATTTGCCCGCAAACGACTTATGCCCGTTTACACAATCAATCAATGAGGGTTTTCGCGAATGAAAGATCCGCTAGATGGCGGGACGTGGATGTGGGGTCTGACTGCGCGATTGATGGATTTTGACATATCTGTCAATGTCATGTCAAAAATAACCAATCATGCAGCATTTGGACCTCGCGTCTACGTATTGCCATCTGGCGGATTTTTCATACGCGAAAACCCTCATTGATGGTGAAAACAGACATAAAAGTAATTTTTGGAGGGAGGGCGTAACCCTCTAGACAAGTGGCAAAATGTGACAGTTGTAATGTCAAAAGATGGTCGAAAGGCCTTTTTT